TACTTAGTCTTACTCTATTTTTCTTTTCATTTTTGTCCACTGGATGGAATAGAAAAATGTTTATTATAAAAGTAGAATTTTCTGTTGTCACATCTTTTCATTTCTTTGGATGCTTTTTAGCTTAAAGCTTTTCTCCAGATTAAAAAAAAAATTTCCCCCACTTCTAAGTATACCTTTCCGCTGCAGAAAATTTTAGAAATGTAGAAAACATGAAGAAAATTAAATTTCTTCTGATCCTCCAACCACAGATAACCGTAGTAAGCACTTTGGAGTAAAATTGTAAAATATTTTATTTTTGTACATGTACTTTTGTTCCGTTACTAATCCACATCATAAGTATATACTTTTGCCCGCTTTTTACCCATGGATTATGAATGTGTACTTAGGACAGGAGTCATGCTATAGATGGCAGTTTTATACAGAAATGTATTTTATATAGTTTTTCTTAAAACGATAACTGAATAGAACTATATGAAGTCCTAAGACAGCAAAGGTAACCCTTAGCGAAGCTAATTGTTGTCTGGCTGCATTACTTAACTGTGATTTCATTTGGAGGCATAGCATTTAGAAGCCTGGAGGAAAGGCTGATAGCTTGCTCGGCTCTCTCAGATTTCAGATGTCTTATCTGTGCTTTAGCAAGAGGTGGTTATCAGTCCACTGGAACTTGAGCTTACTGGCAAGGGCCTCTGCAAACGTTCTGTGGTTTCAATCAAATGAGAGCTCTTTGCTCCCGGTAACAAACGTGTCTAATGCAAAGTTGACATTTGCTTATGAAAATTAAGGAACTCGATTCGACCTGGTTCCCTCACGGAAGGCAGGCCAGCTTGCTGCTTGAGCAGCATGCTTCCTTCACTTCTTAGCCTTTATTGAAGGCGCCCCCTCCCCCCTCCCCCCTATTTCCCCAGGATGGTGAATCATGATCTCCATTCCAGAAGCCTTCAGCTGGACGGAGCTCTTGAAGCCAAAGGTACCCTAAATGAAAACGATCATCATTTCTTAAGATTGGAGGATTTACAGAAATTCGTTTTGAGAGATTTCCCTCAAACCACCGTCATTTAGAACAGAAAAGGGCAGCTTGAGGTTTTTCCCTAGGTTACCTAAAAAGGAAAAGATAATAATTGGGTGGAGTTACCATAAAACTGCGGAGAGGCTTTTAAGGATGGTTTGAGGTTAGATTGTCTGTTTTTAAAATTAATTGGTTTCTCTTCTTAGACAAATTACACGATTTCAAGTCACAGTTCGGGCATTAATTGCCTTAGAGCCCGTTGTACCATCAGTGCGTCCTCCGCATGCTCTGTCTGCCAGGGGCACGGGGGCTGCGGGGCCAGACGTAAAGGAGTTTCGATCCTCAGTCTCCCATGAAGGATTCCTGTGTTCAGAAGTGAAAACACTTTCAAAAGTTAAAGTCTCGTTAGACTTCTATCCTGATGTTGTCTGAGACGGGCAGTTAAACAGAATTCTAATAGCTGGCTTGAGTGTCAGGTTTTTAACCAGCAATGTGAGAAGTGACATTTTCCATAATGCCTTCTTGCTGGTGTGTGATCCTGTGATGGACTGTTCCAGATTCAGCCCACACTCCTTGTGTCCTTCATTTTCTCTCTCACTGTCTTACTTGTAAACTCCCGTCTTCCTCAATAAGTCATACTCCTATAATGCTTACTGCATGCCGGGCTGACTTCTAAGCACTTCAGATAGAAGGATCCACTGACCCTCACAACAACCCTATAAGGCAGGTGCCATTATTATCCCCCAGCTCACAGATAAGGAAAGGGAGGCACAGAGTGGCTTACACAAAGTGGGGCCAGGATTGTCACCTCACAAGCCTGATTCCAGAGCCCGGCCTCTTAACCATGTCACAACGTGTTGTGTCTTGAGTAGGTTCTTCCTTTGAAGTCGGGTATTGTCTTCTTACTCACACCATGTCTCAAATAATGTCATGGTGCTTTAATATCTTAATGGCTTCTGGGCTCACCCAGCCCCAGTACTTTAGTAGTCACTGTTTTGAACTTGGTCTGCTTTTTTAATTACATTTTAGTTCAGAAGCAATTGGGTAGAAACTGAAGTTGATTTTATTCACTATCCATGTGTAATCAGTTATGAGGTAATACAGACTCTTTAGCTTTAAACTACATTTCAGAAGTACCATGAATGGTAGTGTATTTGAGGGGCGCCTGGGTGGCTTATTTGGTTAAGCGTCCGACTTTCGCTTAGGTCATGATCTCGCGGTTCGTGGGTTCGAGCCCCGTGTCAGGCTCTGTGCTGACTGCCAGCTCAGAGCCTGGAGCCTGTTTCAGTCTGTGACTCCCTCTCTCTCTGACCCTCCCCTGCTCATGCTGTCTCTCTCTCTCCTAGAAATAAATAAAACATTAAAAAAATTAAAAAAAAAATGGTAGTGTATTTGAACTCCAGCAGGCCTGTGAATTTTACCTCTTAATATTCTTTTCTGGTTGTGGTTTGATTAAATTGGGTTCTTTCTGCACATAGGAATGGCAGGAAATGGTAGAGTCTTATGGAAAGTGACTTGGAGATGTCTCAGACAGAAATGATTTCTGCCCTTTTTTGTATGTGTGCATGTACACACACACACACCACTTTAAGTCACTTTTTTTTTAATGCAGGTGAGCAGTATTTATTGACTTGTTATGTGCCACCACTGAAATTAATTACTTTTTCAAAGAATTGATGTGACTCCCAAACAAAAATCATTTCTGCTAAAGGAAGGAATCAGGGACTCTTTGACCTGGATTGGGGGGGGCGGGCAGGAATCCTCTTAGTACATCTCATTGTCAGCCACTTCCTGGGGTTGAGAAGTCCTCTCCCCTCTAGATTACCATGTCAGAAGGGTGTCTTTTGGTTGTTCTACATTCTGTGTAGGCTGTGGTTCAGTCTCATTTTTAAATAGACTTGTCTCTTTATGGAAAGGGTTGGTTTCTCCTTAAATTAGTTGCTCTATTCCTGCCATGTTTACTTTTCATCCTTTCTTTTGGGAGCTTATCCTTTGTGAAAATGGAAATACAGCATCTCTAGTCCCATCGTGTACCATATATGCTGAGCTTTGTAAATGGCATAAGACTCCATAGGTCCATTTTAAATCCACAGACGTTAAGGGAAATACACTACTACTGCTGTCTTACATCATTCCAAGATGCACATTTCCCGCCACTTTTTAACATCTCTGAAATCAGGATGCATTTTACAGTTGCTGGCATTATATGATTATGATCAGGATAATCATATTATCCTGTTTTCTTTGTTATCAGTACAGAAAACAATGGTGTATCTTACAGCTGACTTCCTTGCTTTGATGAAAGACGATATATCTTTAATCCTTGGAATTTTTGAGAAGCATGTTTGACAGGCTCATTGAATTCCTCCTCTGCTTGAATGAGAGAAGTTTGAAGTCATTTTGTATTCCTTCTATTTGGGTTAAGAGAATTAAAAGCCAGTAATTGCTTTTTTAAGTAATTCATTGCAGATTGTTTTTAAAATTACAAAAATAATACTATGCTTTAGGAATTTAGTTTTGCAGATGAAAAAGTTCTGGAGACGGATAGTGGTGATGTTGAAGAACAGTGTGAATGTGTTCAGTACCACTGAACAGTAATACTTAAAAAATGGTGAAAATGGTAAATTTCAAGTTATGTATATTTTATCACAGTTAAAATTCCCCCCCCCCCATAATATCATGCTTATAAAAACTTCCATCCATTTGGAGATACACAGTATATAAAGAGAAAGCTCTTTATCTTCTCCCCAACCCCTCCCTGTTCCCCTACTTCTGTACCTCTTCTCAGGGGCTTGGTGTAGGTCTTCTTCAAGTATTTCTCCCCCTGACACCTTCCATGTAAGATGTGTGGTTTTCATTGACCCTTCAAGTTCACTTTTCACTATAATACATATAATTGTAATGGAAAAGTAAAATAAAAATGTATTGGGGAGACTATTACCAGGGAACGGGTCCTTTTTTGATCTTATTAAGGCTCAATTGACTGCTTCGTTTATATTCTGCAATGTTTTTCCTAGAAGTAGTCCGTATAAATGCATATTTGTAGCTGGACTGCTTCAGCTCTTACTACATGTAATGAAAAAGGCATAAGGAAAGATGGAACATGATGGCCTTAAATCAGTCATGCAACAGCAGGATTCTTTGTTTCCTTCTCGTTTATTACCAGTCTCTCCTCGGATGATGGGACGTGCAGTTACCCTTGACACCCCTGTCCAGGCTGCTGTGGCCGTTCCCACCGGGTGCCCCAGCCCTCCCCTCCACCCCTGAGACTGCAGAATACACAGTGTTCATCCGCTTCTGCTCTGTCTCCTACCTTTGCTGCATCCTGCATCTGTAGCTCATCCTTGACATTCACCCCATCTCCAGGAAGCATTCTCTGCACTGTGTGTCTAGTTTGTGATCTTTCTGTACGTATGCTCTTGAAGGCTGTGTGCCTTTCCTCAGAGCACTTGTTTTGGGTCTTAATAACACGTATATTCGTGTGCGACTCCTTTGATAAACGTCTGTCTCTCCTGATGACCGCTCTTTGAGTCGGTGTCTGTGTTTTGCTCACCCTGCCTCCCTTGGCTTAGCACATGCTTAGCACTTGATGTGCATCCAAAGAAACTTTGTTGAATGAAGAATTTGATTTTTAATTGTCTTCTGGAGTGGAGGAGTTTATAGGTAGGAAGTTGATAGTATCAGAAAATTAACCTGAATGTCTAGACCTTGGTGCTCCGGCATTTTGGTTTTCAGCCACAGCTTAAAACTTAGTTACCCTGGAAATATTTTAACACTTCATTGATCTTTTTGTGGTGGGATTCTTTTGAAAATGAACTTGGGCCTTGAAATACCCCATATCCTGGGCTTCTTTTAAGGGGACGCAAACAGATCAGATAGCTTTCTGTCATTCCTTCTGAATACACAGTGATTCAGCATGAGTAGATACGTCGATTTCTAAAAATGAGAATCTTGGAATAAACTGTTCTCTCACTGATACTTATTTTAATTCCAGAACATGGTCCAAGACAATTCCTGGGAAAGTCGAATTCTTCTCTAGTGAGGGTTCAGACACCTCAATACCAATTCCGATAGTGCCGCTACGGGGCGTGGACGACTCCTACCCACCCCAGAAGAAGTCTTTCATGATGCTCAAGTACATGCATGACCACTACCTGGACAAGTATGAATGGTTTATGAGAGCAGATGATGACGTATATATCAAAGGAGACCGTCTGGAGAATTTTCTGAGGAGTTTGAATAGCAGTGAGCCCCTCTTTCTCGGGCAGACAGGACTGGGCACCACGGAAGAGATGGGGAAGCTGGCCCTGGAACCCGGTGAGAACTTCTGCATGGGGGGGCCCGGTGTGATCATGAGCCGGGAGGTTCTCCGGAGAATGGTACCACACATTGGAAAGTGTCTCCGGGAAATGTACACAACTCACGAGGACGTGGAGGTGGGAAGATGTGTCCGGAGGTTTGCCGGGGTGCAGTGTGTCTGGTCTTATGAGGTAAGAACAGAAGAAAAAAAAATCTGTTAATATCGTCGTCAGTTCTGAACCAATTGCAGGAAACTAGTGATAATATCTTCCCTAAGGCTCAAAGTTGGTATTAAGTTATTACACATTTTTACCTTAGTTTTTTAAATTTGAATTCCCCCTTAGTATCTCAGTCTTTGTTTTTAGGACAAACCTATACTTTTGTCCTCATACCTTAGTTAATAAATGATGGCATTTGGAGCCCAGAGGAGCGGTATGGTTCACTGTAGGTCACAGTGATATTTTCATGGTTATCCGGAAAATTCATTTAATCTGACTGTCGCTGAATCAGCAGATTTGATTGCAGTTGTATTAACTTTCCCTGTCCCTGTTCTCCCAAAGGCCTGCCTTTTCTCTTGTCATGTGTTGACCCACACAATTTTGAAACTTAACATGTTTAGAATTGATAAAATGAGTAATGATGTAAAAAAAAAAAAATGCCAGTATCATTTGGCTTTGCATTTATTTTAAACCTTGACTTTTTAGACCTTTATTTATAGTCTGTAAGTTTGCAGTAAGGTGGTTCCTTTGAGTATAGTTGGTAGGCAATCTCTGAGTTATCTGGACACACAGATGTGATTATTTTGTAGGAAGTCTACTTGTAGATTATTTTCTCTTTATTTTTTTATTTTTTATTTTTTTAATGTTTTATTTATTTCTAGGAGAGAGAGAGAGAGAGAGACAGCGTGAGCAGAGGAGGGTCAGAGAGAGAGGGAATCACAGACTCTGAAACAGTCTCCAGGCTCTTGAGCTGGCAGTCAGCTCAGAGCCCGACGCGGGGCTCGAACCCACGAACCGCGAGATCATGACCCAAGTGAAAGTCGGATGCTCAACCGACTAAGCCACCCAGGCGCCCCGATTATTTTCTCTTTAAATGCTCTTGAGAACATGAGTTAGCTTTTGACTTTTCTCTGTTTTTATTGGCAGATGTGCATCTCTTGCCTGCAGTTACAGGATCTGATATTAGTCAGAATGGAAAAAGTTATTTAGGTTGTGTTGTGTTTAGATTGATGAATTACTGATAGTTGTGATGAACAGAGGGAATTTTCTAGACCTCTGCCCAAGAAAAAGAAACATGCTTTCTGATGTGAACTGTTAGCTTTTGTTATGAGTTAATTTTCTCAAGTGCTTGATTGAAGAAATCATACTCCTGCCAGTACTTGCCTCCCCCCCTCCCCCGCCCTTCCACCCAAGACTTGCTTTTAAAGGTTTCCTAATAACTGTTTCTTTCATATGAACTGTTAGGGAAGTGGACATTTTCAAGAATACAGGAAGTAGTTTTCATGTTGTTTCTAATTATAAAAGATACATTCAGATGTCATTTGAGTGAAACCTCCGATCTCTGTGTGATCCCCCCCACCCCAGATCACTGGATCTAGGGGGTGTTTCTGTTATGGATTTTCGCAGTGAGGAAGCTGGGGGTGTCCTGCAGTTTTAAGCAGAATACAGCTGGCAGTGTTTCTGCGTTTCCCCATCCTTAATTGAATAGTTATAACCTTAACATGCTTCGTTACGGTTAAAACATGCACTGCCTTGTGTATTTTGGAATGTTTTACCCTCTCCCTGATCTCTGAGCAGCTGGCCGTCCTGCTGAATTGTAGACGTTAGGCCTACCTTTGAGAGAGAATTTTTAAAAATCTGTGTCTTAGTATAGTGGTGCTGTTATATCTTACATACCGCTGGATAGATACTGGTGGGGCCGTATCTTGTTTATCCAGAACTCTCAGTTAGCGTTAGTGCCAGGATGTTGTTAGAAAGTATTGTCCTGGGTGGGGTGCAGAGGCTGCTAAATAGTTTTAGGGCTCTTTTCCCCCCTGTTATCTTGTATTCGCTGTAATTCTCTAAGGCCTGAAGGCAGGGTGTTGAAAATCTTCCTTTGTGGACACTGGAGGCCACCTCTTTGCTTGGAGACACCTGGTGAATGATCTTATTAGCTGAAGGGATCTGGTGGAGAGGAAGCTCCCTTTCTGGTGGGTTTCCTGTCCCTGGGCTCTCCTGGGGGGTGTGGAGGAGCGTGTGGGCAGCCAGGGGACAGTCATCTCTGGGTGGTGTCAGTGCTGCCCTCCGTGTGTTTACAGGCCTGATGACAACAGAGCTTTTCCTAGATGCTGCCCGTTTGTGAGCTCTTTTTGTGGGGGGGCTCTCCTCTCCCCGAATGTGGCTTCTCCTTTCCCTTTAAATGTGGTTTTTCTTCACATGCATACGTGAATTTCAAGTGTAGCTAAATTTCTCATTCTTCTATATAGCTTGTGCTTTTTTGTGTGTAAGAAATTTCCCTTCCTGGAGGGACAGGAATTGTCTCCCCTATGTTTTTCTGTGAGTTTAAAGTTTTGCCTTTCATATGTAGTTCATCATAGTCATTTTTAAGATTTAGATCTATTGGGACATGTACCATTTTATTAGACCTTTGATTTCTTTTTTCTTTTTAGGTAGGGCTTTAAGTGCTCTTAACCTAAGTCGTTAACTAGGATTTATCATTGTGTTCTCCACTCAAGCGAGATTAATCCCTCATGTGGATGAGAACTTTTATTAAACTTCCTGTAAATCTAGTTTCTCCATTAAGGTTCACATTATGAGAAATTACTGAGGTGGAGTCTTATGTTAAAGACAATTATGTTAAGCTTTAGGTCTTGGAAGGTACTTATTTAGCTCTTATAAATCTAGCCAGGAGGTGTAATTTTTACTTTTTTTTTTTTTTCTTTTTGCAAGTTGAAATAGTGCCTTGGGATTATAATTAAAATGGCTTGTGAGAGACAACTGGACAAAAATCCAGATTCATTTCTAAGCTTGTTTGATAAATAACCATTTACTAATATATGGCTTTAAACATTTTTGTTTGGAAGTAATTTTAGTTTCACAGGAAAAAAAACCCCAGCACAAAGCACATCCACACACCCTATACTCAAATTAACCTGTTAACATTTTACCCTATTTCCATTGTCATTTGCCACTGTTCCTGAGTCTCCCCCTGCCCCCACATACAGGGACGCAGACCTGTCCCTCATTTGTAATTTAACATTGTGTACCTTTACTTTAACATCAATTATATTTTGACTAAGAATGGGAGAAATTCTCTTATGACCACAGTACAGCCTAAGTTTTAAGTTCAACAGGGAGACGTCAACCTCCCATTACATTCTGATTTTATCTGTTGCTGCAGCAAAGTCCCGGGTAACAGTCCTCTCTTCTGCATCACAGAAGCAGCCTCGGGTCAGGTGTCGCACTTGGCGGTCATGCCTCGGTAGCCTCCTTCAGGCTGGGCACAGCCTCTTTCTGCGTCTTTTGTGACTTTGGCATTTTTGATAAGTGGCTTTAAATACTTTCATTTTCATAATTTAAAAATGTGATTGCAATACAGCAAACCATAAGGTGGTTTTTTAGTAATGCTTCTTGGTGTTTACCGAAACCTCCTAGCCCAGAGTGAGAATGTGCACCTGATGGGGGAAGTGGAGCAGGCAGATCTGACTCCCCTTGTCACACGCGCTCGGCATTATACCTCCAGTTACAAGAGGTTGTTTTTGCGAATCATTATTGAACAATTTGAAACAATTTAGGCAAATAAACAAAATATACTGCTCTTAGTAAGGGAGCAAAAAGACAGTTGACCTAAGTAACCTTTATGTTTTACTTTTGACTTTTCTGTGGAAAAGTACTCAGATCATAAATAAGTGTAGAGCTCAGTGGATTTTCACAAAGAGAACACAGCTGCGTAGCCAGCAACCAGCTCTTGCTTTTCTTATTTTAACTCAACATTTGACTTAGTGTGTTTTGTGTAGAAAATAGTCATTACTAGGCATAGGTGGATTTGGCAACTTTAAAAAAATTTATTGGGCAGCCTGGGTGGCTCACTCAGTTAAGCATCCTAATTCAGCTGAGGTCATGATCACACAGTTCATGAGTTTGAGCCCTGCATCTGGCTCTGTACTAACAGCTCAGAGCCTGGAGCCTGCTTCAGATTCTGTGTCTCCCTCTCTCTGCTCTTCCCCCACTCATGCTATGCCTCTCTCAGTCTCAAAAATAAATGAACATTAAAACATTTTTTGGGGGGTACTGGGTGGCTTAGTTGGTTCAGTGTCTACTCTTGATTGTGGCTCAGGTCATGATCCCAGGGTTGTAGGATCGAGCCCCTGTCAGGCCCTGCTCTGAGTATGGAACCTGCTTGAGACTGACTCTCTCTCTCTCTCTTTCTCTCTCTCTCTCTCCCCCTCCCTCTCTCCCTCTCCCCCTCTCCCTCCCCCTCTCCCTCTCCCTCTCCTCCTCTCCCTTCCTGCCCTCCATCCGCCCTTGGCCACTCTCACTCTCTCTCTCCCTCTAAAATAGAATTTTAAAAAGTTTATTTAATGCCATCACATGGTTTACAATTCAGAAGTTCAAAGAGTTCGTCAGGATAAGCTTTCCCATCTCCATCTCGACCCCCGGGTTCCCTTCAGGGTCAGCCGCTGTGGCACACCTGTACAGTAGGCTTGCCATCTGCATATGTAACCAATGAGGTCTGTATATCCTCTCCCCTTTGACGTGGATGGTATAGCATGTCTTACGTACTGCCTGGATCTTGCTGGTTTTCACTTACGTGTCTTGAAAGATTTTCCAGTTGGTACGTAAGGAGCTTCATCTTTTTTATGGACATTCAGGCTCTTTCCAGTTCTTTTCTGCCGTGTTTCTAATCAGTCCTTTAACCCAGTGTTTTTTGTTGCTTGTTTGTTTTTAAGAGAAAGAGAGCGAGAGAATGCAAGAGAGAGAGAAGGCATGCATGCAAGTGGGGGGAGAGGGGCAGAGAGAGAGACGTGGGGCTCGGTCCCACGACCGTGGCATCATAACCTGAGCTGAAGTCAAGAGTTGGACTCTCAACTGACTGAGTCACCCAGGGGACCCTCAGCAGTGTTTCTAATTAGTCCCTTAACCCAGTGATTTCCAGCCTTTATCGCATCATGATGTACACATTGAGGTGCTCCTGCTACCTCAGCCTCTAACCA